TCCCGCAGCGGCCGAAGATGGAGTCCCCCGGGATGGATTATTTCTGCGACCAGGTGCAGCAGAAAGACGTGGGCCGCAGGATGCAGGTGGGCCAGGAGCTGCTGGAATACCTGAGCGACCCGGCGAGGTCTTCCGAGGTGGAACAGGACCAGCAGCGCCTCGACAAAGTCATCGACGAGTTGACGGCGTGGGTCAACTCCAGCAATTTTAAGGTGAGGGCTGCCCGGCGAGGCTGGCTCCGCGGAGACCATGATTCATCATCATGGCAGGGAGGTGCGGACCTCCGGCTCGCTTTGCAGTCAGGTCCCAGCAGAAATAAAACTCCTTTTTTAGCAGATTTTATCCTTCCCTTCACAAAAAAAATTCAGAAATTCTGAGAGGGGTTGCTTAAAATCCCCCTGTTCCTACTTCTCTGTCTTAAAAGCAGCAGTAATAGGCTTTGTGATCTGTCCTTTAAACGGTTTTGTGCACAATAGAAAAAAAAACCATGCTGCAGTTGCGTTTATCCTAAAAAATCCCCACCTATCTTGTTTCAGGATATTGGTTTTTTTACCTACCGTTCCTATTCCATGGTCTCTGTGCTTGGGTGTAGTGTTCCATGGCATTGCCATCCTTTTCTGTAGGCCGTGGAGTGCTGGTTCCCCAGGTTTGCCTTGCTCCGTGTGCATTTTATACGATTTAATGAATCATTTGCTTCTTGGGGTTCCCATTGCTACTTTAAAGTTGTTTATATTTTCTTTAGGTGACTTTCCGGTACGCGGGAAGTTATATAGTATCTGAATAGCAGCCCAATGATGACTCACGTTTGGCTTTTTTATTTTTTTTTGGTGCATTTTAGGCTGAGCTGCAGGGAAACAGGGATGATTCCTACCCCCATCTCTTGTAGTATTTCTAAATTTTCCTGGTGTGGATGAAGCGCTACAACGATTTGACGACGTAGTTTTATAACGAAGGACAATCGTATTCGCATTAGCGTTTTTCCTTTTTTTTTTTTTCATTTTTTTTATCTGTGTGTATAGCTGGGACGGGTCGTGGGGTGGCGATGTCGCTCTGCGATGCTGAGATCCGCCCTTCCCTCTGCGATTTTTCCCTTGCTTTGTAGGATGATTGACTTGGCGCTTCGGGTCTTTGAACTTTAGTGTGGCGAGGTGGTGCTAATTTTTTTTCTGCTTGCCCAGGCTCAGGAAGGAGTTGGAGTAACCTGTAAGGGCAGTATGTCCATGAGATGGGTGGGTTTTGTCTCTAACAGTGCCCTGTGCTTGGTGTGTGTAGTTTGAAGTCTGAAAATAATAAGGTTTAACTCTACTTGCACGTATGATTTATTATTTTTGGAAGGGTATTTGTCATTAAAGGTCAGGTTAGCTTGAGGAAGTAATCTATGTTACACATCTATAATTTATTTGCCTTGACATTCTTTGTGAGGGCAGTGGATAGCAATTGATTACTGTGAAATCTAGAAAGGTCTCTGAAAATACCCTTTTATGTAAAATGGACTAGAGACTGACCTCAACAGGGTAATGTAAAAGTTTCTTCCTGTGCTTTTAAATGGACAAAACACTTGCAATTTGATTTTCAAGATGTACTTCTCCCAAATAACTGGTAATAGATTGAGAGGAAATGGGCTAAAGTTGAGCCAGGAGAGGTTTTGATGGGATATTAGGCAGAATTTCTTTCCTGGCAGAGTGGTGAGGCATTGGCCCAGGCTACCCAGTAAGGTGCTGGAAATCCCCATCCCTGGAGAGGTTTAAAAAACATGTACATGTGGCACCTGGGGACACAGTTTAGTGGTTATGGTGGTGTTGGGTTGATGGTTGGACTTGATGACCTTAGAGGTCTTCTCCAACCTTAATGATTCTATGTTTTTCAGTAAGGCAAGACTTTCTTGCTGCTAATGTAAGGTGACAGAACTCCTTGGCTGTCAGGACTATGGGATGAGTGAGGAATATGCAGGAGTCCAGGTCACAAGCCTGAGTCTGGGGAGATGAAGTATTAAAAGTGTTGCAGAGGTAAAAGTTCTAAGAATACCTTGCATAATAAGGAAAATCTTTTTGTTATTTCTCTATGTCCTCTCACTGGTGGCTCTGTAGATTCAAAGCTTGGTGTATACATCATCCTAACTGCAGGAGCAGAAGACCTTGCATGTTTTGCTCACCACCAGTTCCAGTGTTCCTGGCTGTGGGGATGGGGGCTGCCAGCATCTGCTGCCTGAAAAGCAAAATTAAAAAGGTTCTAGAAAACTGTAACTTCCACCTGCCTCATGTATTTTATAGTATGCAAACATAGGTGTTACATGTTTAAATGTTAGACCTGAGTTTGTTATTAATCTCAGAGCCTGAGTGGTGTCATGAAGTGGTGAGTACCACAGGCTCTGAAGAAATATACTAAAGTATTTAAAAAATACTTAAAATTAAAAAAAATAATAGAAATACTGAAATATTTATTTTGGATTTCTGTATTTGTAAGAATTTCTTGGTTACCATGTCCTCTGCTGAGGAATGGATGTGTAGAGCACACTTAGGTGGTTCTGTTGATTATCTCTTCCTTGTATCTTGCTCGAGGTCTTGCAGGTCCTCAGAGTTGCAAAGTAATTAATCCCTCCCTGTTGACGTGGCTGTTTAATTGAGCAGTGGGAATGGCTGGGGATTGGCTCGTTTGTCAAAACTGCTGAGCTGGATGAATGGGAGTGACAAGTGCAGAACGCTGGAGGAAGCTTTGAGGGGGAGGATGATTTCCATTATAGGTGATTGGTATGGATAATGAGGGAATAATTGATGAAGCTTGCCCTGCATGTGCCTTATCTTCACTTTTGTGTGAAAACTCCCTTCTTGCAAGCTGTGTGTTTTGCTGGCCGTGATGAGGGAGAGAGATGCATGATCCAGGAGCACCAAGCTCAACTCTGCTCTGCCTTAGAGAAGATCTTTTATAAAATGCCACCCTTGAGAGTATCTGCCTCAGGTAGCAGAAAAAATAAAAGGTGTTTAGTAAACAAGTATGGACTTGTTATCAGCAAGGTTGAATTAACATCCTTCAGAAAGATTTTGACCATATAAATAGTGCTGTTGTTTTCCTGAAGTTGGCAGCTATTTATAGTGGTTTAATAAACAATCTGGTGGTTCCACACAAAGCAAGCAGACAGGAACATTTCTGAGTTGGTCTAGCTCATTGGGGTGGAAATTACAATTACCAGCTGGAGTTACTGATAAATCCAAAAGGTGGGATTAGGAATGTGTTGACTCATTTGGAAATGGTCCTGAGTTGTAGTGGAAGTTAGTTGCAGGACACTGTAAGTGGCCTAGAGAGAGATAAGCCACCTTTGAAGGCTGACCTTAATGGTGTGTCATGGGGGACTTAAGTTACAATGCAGTCAGTGATAAATTAGATTCCAAAGACTGTTGAAAACATTGCAATACCAGGAATTACTCAGAATTGTGTGCTCTTAAGCTTTTATTTTGGATCTCAGTAGAATTCAAGAGGTGCTCACTGAACTGAAAGTTGCTTGTTTGGTGTCCTGGTACCCTGATGGCTTTTATTTCATATTGGTCAGGACTGACTTCTCTCTTTCTCCAACACAGAGCTATGGTTTGGGGTGATTTGTTTTTTTTTTTCCTATGCTAAAATATCTATTTTCCCAGGGCTCTGAGGAATAGTGGCAAAAAAAAAGGCAGTGAAATCTTTGTGAGGAGCAGATGAGTTGGATGCAGAGTTTTAGGAGATGGTGCTGTTCTGCTGGGGTTTCTTCTGCTCTAACTCTGAACTATTTGGCAGTCTCAGAAAACTGAAACCATGCTAATGTTTGTGTTCAGCCTCTCAGGTGAACTGCAAGCAGTAAATAAACTCCCATTCTGGAGGTATCACTGCTCTTAATATTTACTGACTTTACTGGGTTAACTTGGATGCTCATCTCCAATATTGAGCTTGGTACAGTCTGGTGGCTCAAACTGTTCTGTTGCTGACAATCTGGAGATCTGCTTTGAACTATTGCTGAAGAGATGTGGGATGGAGAAATGCTACTTCTCAAGTAGATCCTTCCAAGTTTACTCTTGGCTGTCAGCATCGTGCGGTTTTTTTAAATGCACCAAAATTGAGTAATTACCCTAATAATTTTTTTTTGGAGCAATAAATCCATCTTTCAGTTCTTTATGCAAATTACACCTGATCAAAAGTAATAAAACCCTATGACTAAAATTCTCGTGGTTTCTCAAAGTAGTTTAATATGAGGAGAGCAGTCAGTAATAGTTGTGACTGAGTCACTTTTTGGATTGCTTACCTTTGTAGTTGATATTTTAGCTTGTTTTATTCCTCAGC